AAGAGTTGCCATTAATCTTGGCCCCCAAAGAACCCAGAGGTCATGCTAAAGAAAAGACGCGTGAGCCCGTCACACTCTGAAGACCCTCCAAGTAGTGCGGACCGAGAGAGAGATGGCCGTTAAATTTATCGAGTTTAGTGTTTCCCTTTGGAATAGTGTGGTACTTAAGAGAGGAGGTGCCAGTTCAGATGTCGTCCTCATCACTTGACCAAGGTTCACAAATACGAGATCCGTCGCCATAGCTCTTGCGTTGCTTTTTATTGTGACGTTAATATAACTCTCACTCACTCGAGTAATTATGTGTTTGTTCTTGTAAAGAGATTAACACTTAAACATATCTAATTACAGTGTGTGATATATTTAAATATAGATAAAATCAAATTATCTTCATGCATAACAAAACTTACACTTTTGAACATAACTTTATTACAAGTACAATATTCTCATGAGAAAATATAACCGCAGTGTTCTTTCGCAAGAGTAAATTCTACTTATATTGTGTTTCTTAAAACTAAAAGAAAGTTACTGCAACTGGATATTCCCTGATGGGTCTCGGAAGGAGACAAGATGTTTTATTTTGCTTCAGTAAAAGCCGGAAAAACAGATATCTGATCAATAATAATGTAAGTGTATGTACGTGTACTGACTGACTCTCAGTCATGTAGTTTGTGTATATTCGGTCAGAAGCACAATCAATATACTCCTTAAAAATCCAAATATGTTTCTTTATCTTAGCTCTACAGGTGGATTTAAAATTAGTGTGACCAATTTTAAAAGCATATAAACTATTTATGGAAAATTTTAAACGCTTTACTACCAGTTTTATTTTAAAAATGAAATGTTTAAACTTACAATCTAACTGTTTTTATTAGTGAGAATAAACTATGGGGAAATTAGATCCTCAAACGAAATTTTAAAACTTTTGAAGGATGGTTGCTCTTCTATTACAAATAAAGCATTTAAAAACCAGAAAAGACATTTTTCAAATGGATTACAATTTAAACTTCAAAAAGATATGAAAATTGGCTGGCAATCAAAAGCTCCGGGGAAAAATGGGGACGAAAGGATGTTCTTGGTAAAAAAGGAAAAAAAAAGCTAAAATGACTTATCGCTGTGGAAAATCTTCTGTCTCAAGGAACTAAAGCAAAGAAACTATAGGTATTACAATCGACTGGCTATAAAAAAGTGAATAAATCAGAATTTCATCAAATGTCAGCCGTATTTAATGTTACGCAAAGGTAGATACAAAACAAGGAATGAGGCACTGTTTCATCTGTAAACTGCATTTGGCAAAACGAAGATACTATACATTTTACTGGAAAAGGCTTAACAAAACCTTTTTTTTATAGGACTAAAGGCTAAAATTGATGCTAAATACTTTCAGAATAAAATTTTGAAGCGCATGATCAAAAAACGTAAACACCTTTATCCTCAAGGAAACTTTGTTTTTCACCAAAATTCTGCACCAAGTCATACAGCAAAATCGACTTTAAAATGGCTGAAAGATAAAAAAAATAATAATAAATTAACCTGACTATTATCATCTCCTGATTGTGCCCCTTGCTATTATTTTTTGTGGGGATGCTTAAAAAAACAATGAGATAGCCGTACAATAAGAGCTTTCAAGGGCTTCAAAAAGAAAGCAAATAAAGAATTGGAAAAATACCCCCAAATAGGGTCGAAAAAACTCTTTCGGATTGTCCTAAGCGTTTACGCAGTGTAGTATGCTAAAGAAAACCACATTAAAAATTTCATGTAAATAAATAACATAATTCAATAAAAAGTTATAATACTCTGAAATTAGTCACATTATTTTTGAATCAGTCTGTAAGTGCTGGTAATTGCTGCTTTTTATGAAATTTGTTGAAAATGTTTGGTACTATTTAAATGTTCAAAAGGACTCGGAAATTTTTATGCATATAAATATTCAGTTAATATTAAAAATTTTGTAGTTTTTAATCTTGTCATTTTCGTTAATAATATTTCTGCTTTAGTGATAATACATTACAAATTTCAGTATGTATTATTGAGAAAAAATATCCATTATTTGAAAATGGGCGTATCATTGTTGGGTAATAAGATTCATAATTTATAAGGCGTAAGTTATGAGACATAATATATTAGCGTAGCACTCTATAAGTAACACGAAGTGTATTGGTGACATATCTCATAATTTTGAACCATGGTTAAGTGACAACACCTGGTACCCCTTCTCCAAACTTCCACGCCACGCTAATGAGGGAACACTGAGCCTCGACAGATTTAACTTGCATCAACTCCTCTACACAGTGGGTCTTCAGTGGCACAAGGCGCGAGCTCATGACATTTCAGCCATGAGTCCATGACCATAACCAACCGCTATTACAAGGAGGTAAACCATTTAAAATTAACATAGAATTTATAAATTTAGAAATTATTCATTCATTCACATCTTCATTACTCAGTTGTGCTACAACAAAGAGAGATGGAAAAAATTTGAAATATTGTCCAACTACTGAAGATTCACTTGCTTGCATTAAATAACAAATAAATTATGAAATGTTTCCTGCAATACACATTATATGATCAAAAGTATTCTTATTCCGGTATGTTTGCTTTATAAAAAAGTAAAAAATTAATATGATTTGGCTCCTTTTTGCGAAAAACACACCACCGGGGGGGAAGACTATTCACTAGTTTTTTGAATGTTTCAGGAAGAGCTGTATAACGCAGTGCTTCTCAAAGTTGCAATATTCGTGACCCAGTATTCAATCATAATTTTTATCGCTCCCCCCTCATACAATAACATATTGAATTCGTTAATACTATACTTTGACCCTAAAACTGCGTAACGATTTTAACCTCTTAAGCGTATATAAACGCCTCACTAAGGCAAAGCGTTTATTTCCTCTGGCATATATATACGTCTCTCCGAAGTACGATCTTTTCTGTGCAGTGCTATCCATAAAATTATTCCGTAGGCTTTCGGATGCAATAAAAGGACATTGACAGTGTTTGCGAAGGATTTACTTATTTCATATTATTTGTTCTTCTTTTTCCCTCCCTCCACACACACAAAAAAAAATCACATACGCGTGCCTACGTGGAAAACGTTTGGCATTGGGAAGCGAATCGATTAACTTTTAATCTGCAGTTAAGGGAAAAATTATAAACCGGACAAATTATCAAGGTAAGTGTTAATTTTTGTTTTTATTTATGTGTATGATAAGCCCATGAGGTCACTGGTAATTAATAAACTTTTTCTTAAATTAAGACTGTTAAATTAATTATAAAATACATTGTGTAGCACTGATACATTTATAAGTATAATATATCAATGTAAGTATGCATTTTATTTTTTATTTTGTCAGAATGTATTTTGTTTGTTACTTTCAGTAAATTAATAATTTTTTGAATAATCTTTTGTTTTTGACTTTTCAATATGCTCGTGCCCCCCTTGTAGAATTGCCACGCCCCCCCAAGGGGGGTGCGCCCCACAGTTTAAGAAACGCTGGTATGACACTATTCTTGCAGAAAAACTCTTGTCAACCCTGTTAACGATTTGGGATGGCGCAATCGAACTAAATCGTCCCATAGATGTTCTATGGGACTCGGTCTTTGATGCAGGCCTGTCCAGTTCTTGAATTCCATGTCATAAACCATGTCACCTCTTATAGATAGGAGCGCGATTCTTACGAAACAGAAATGAACCTTCTTCGAATTGTTATGTATTATAGAGGCAATATGGAATTGACCGAAATGTTGGGACAGACTTCTGTCTTGAGAGTTACTTGCGCAATAATTAAAGGGTTAGGCCATACTATGAAAAACATCTCTAAACCATTATATCTCCTCCTTCAAGCTTTATTTGCGGTTCAATACAGTCAGTTTTAAAGCGTTTACCGGGTTATATACACACTCAAATTCAATAGCGTAACGTACACCCCCGCATCGTGGGGGGACAGGGTTAATGGGGGCCCAAATCCTGACTTTGCAGAAGGGGGCCAAATGTTCTCCATTATGCCACTATCCAGAGTCTACCATCAGTTGCTGCTTGATTCGTCGCTCCAAAACACGTGAAGCCTTTTTTGAAGTCTCCAGTGCTGTTGACGTTTATACCATAGCAAACGGTTGGTTGTTATAATGGCATTGGTTGTGGTAATATTTGGTTTGTAGACAGCAGAGCTCTGGTATGAAAACCAAGATTTCGCAGTCCGTTGCTAACTATCATTGTACTAATGTTACATCCAAAAGCTTCTTGGAGTTTCTTAATCCATGCAATTGCGACTATCTTAAGTAATCTGCGATCTCTGCTTACTAGACAACATGGTCTGTTAGATGGTGGTTGCACAGTTATGTCTCTTGCACGTTTACACTACCTGTTAACATCATATATAGGAGAACGAGGCACCTATAACACACACAGTAGAAATGTCACGAAAATATTGACCATATTAACTAACAGTCACTTTACCACGTTAAAAATCATTTAGATTACATTTTTCTCCCAATGTACTTTCTAACTATGGAATTATGACAAAGAATTCGTCAGAATTATTTTATGCTTGTCTATGATCCTGAAGAGTGTCGTCATTGACAGAATCAAGCTTTTCGAGAAGTATCTGGAAACTTTTGATCCTATAGATTACTTAAATATGGTCATGTAATAGCCAAGTGGTCATAATTTCGAAATCGTGGCCGACTTTGGATCTGTCGAAACGTGGATTCAAGTCTTGGTGCCATTAAAGGCAAACCGTATAGAATGACTGATACACGTTAAATCAGTCGAGGTTCAATTTGATTCGGTTTGAATTTATCTGATTTTTCAATTTCTACTATTAGTTAACTTATTATTCTATTCATCCATTCAAGTTCAAATACATTTTTTTAAACGTAGTGGCAGACACTTGATGTTAATACAGGTTTTTCAAATATTAATTCATTAGTTAAAAAAAAAATTAATAAATAGTAACAAAATATTAGTTCAACTGCATATATAGAAAAGGAAAATGGTTCGTTGTGTCCCCGTAGCGCGATGAATACCGCTTAGGATTTCTAATCCATAGGTCGTGGTTTCGAATACCACCTGGGATACCCTAATGTCTGAGAATGTGATTTTTTTTATTTCAACTTTATTGGAATAATTAAGTTTAATTAATGAATAAATAATAACAAGCAAAAAAAATAGTCCAGCACCATATATAGAAAAATAATCAAAAAATTTCAAGGCAAAACGCTTTCTATTTTGTCGCTTAATACTGCGATTCTGTCCTATGTATTGATAAGAGGCTGGACTTCCCCTTTTATTGGTAATTTCTATATTTGCCCCTTGACCGGATGTTGTTACATTCTTTCGAAAAGGGACTGTCAAAGGATTGTCGCACCCTGTTCGGGTCGAAAGACCCATAAATTTTATAAAATGTAACTCTGCGCGATTGAAAATATCCAATCAGAGACTCAGCTTGGAATACAGTAGTAAGTCCTGCCCCAGAATTTGCAGGTGATTCGGTTCACTATTTAAAGAGACTCGCGCCACACACACACAATTTCGAGAGAGATTCTTTTTCCTAAACTTTTCAGATTTACAATGTAGAAGTGCGAAAACACATTAATATTTCAGCCGAATCCATTCGTAATGAAATAACACGCATTGTTAAAAAAGCAAAATATTACACTATAATTCTCGACTTTACACCAGATATTAGTCACACAGAGAGAACAAATAACGTTTATAATTAGATGTGTGGACATAATGATGGTAAGGTAGATATTTTAGAATTTTTGCTATAATTTTTTCCAGTAACTAATACCACTGGAGAAGGTCTGTGTAATTTTCTATTAGAGAAGTTATTAGTCTGCATCTCAAAGTTCAAGATATTCGAGTCCAGGGCTACGACAATGGATCGAACATGAAGGGGAAAAATATAGGGCTTCAGAAACGGATTCTCGATATTGATCCTAGAGCATTATACATGTGGTGTGCATCTCATTCATTAAATCTCGTCGTTAATGACGCTGCTAGCTCTAGTAGTGAAATTTCTGGGTTCTTTTATACGGTACAAGAGGTAAATAATTACTTTTCTGCATCACCTTATCGATGGGATTTACTTAAAAAAAACACGTAAAAAGTCTTTTAAAACCGTTAAGTGAAACAAGGTTGGAAAGTCGTATCAATGCAATTAGACCTCTAAACAAGGCCTAAAAAACATTACTACCGCATTAATTCAAGATACCACCAGAGACACAAAAACAAAAATGGGTGCTGAATCAATAATTAAGTCTCGAAACATTTAAATTTTAATGTTCAAATTTAATTTGGCATGCTTTATTATCAAGAATTGATGTATTGAGTAAAATGCTTCAAAATCCTAAATTAAACATCGTGGAATGCATTGAAGGCTTAGATAATCTTAAAAAATATTTAATTTCTCAAAGATCTGACGATAATTTTAAAATATTCGTTGATACAGCAGCAACACTTGCTACAGATTTAGGTATTCATTCCGAATTTCCCATCTTGAAGCTAAGGAAAAAGGTCCGTTTATTGGATTTTACGAGAGCTGTGATGAACCATTTTTATAATCCCTTTCATCAATTTAAGACTAATTTCTATTTTGCAACTCTTGATCACGCGATCTCTTCAGTAAATGAAAGATTTACCTTATTATCTGAATGTAATTCAATATTTTGCTTACTGTATGAATTTCATAAAATTTCTGATAATGATCTCATGAAAGCCTGTATGGAATTAGATATTAAGTTACAAGTACAGGAGGAAGGAAGTGTTGTGAAAGATATAGACGCTATACAGCTCTTTAATGAAATAACTTCATTCAAAGATATTTTTCCTGGTAAAAAACAGACAACTGAGATATTAGAAATTATAATGAAAAATGATCTTATTCGCTCTTTTCCCAATTTTGCTCTAGCATTAAGAATTTTTTTAATTTTACCTGTTTCTTTAGCTTCCACACAGTGAAAGAAGTTTCAGTAAATCAAAAATCATTAAAAATTACTTGAGAAATAATATGACACAAGAAAGGCTTTCAGATTTGGCCATAGTCTCAATTGAATACGAAATCTCAGAAAAAATTGATTTAACCGAAATTATTAACAAATTTGCTTCTCAGAAAGCCTGGAAAGTTATTTTATAGTTACAGTAAAATCCGGTGTATAGCGTGCCCCTATACTTTCTAGCTGCGATTTTAGTTTTTAGATATATTCGCCGTATATAATATACACACCCTTTTTTATGAAGAAACCTGAAATGCATGTGCGCAATGATCTTATGTTTTGAAGTCGATTATACGGAGCACTATCCCATACTTTTGAAAAAATAGTATACTTCTAGAACTATAGAACTCTTTTACTTCATAAGGCATTTCATTTCTTAAAAAAAAAAGTATTTCAATATGTGTAGGAGTAAGTTTTTTTTATGTGTATCTCTTTTGTTATTTTTAAAGCTATCATTTTTATACCCGGCGTATAACGCGCAACCGTAAATTTCAATCTTATTTTTTGAGTTAAAAGTGCGCGCTATACACCATATTTTACGGTATAGTTTATTACTTAGTCTTAGTAGATGGACTAATTTATATACTTTTTGTTTCACGAGATTTGTACCTTAATATTTATTTTTATTAGATTGTATTTTTTGAGTAAATTCTGTTGTTTTGCATTTTTAAAATTATAAAATGTTTATTTTTATTTTAAAGGTTATATTTTTGTTAGAGTTTATTATTTTGTCGCTATTATAACTCATTACCTGACCAAAAAGTAAGTTCTGCACTTCAAATTTTATTTGAGTTATTATTAATGTGTTTTACTTTTTATTCTTATATAAGTAGATGAGTTTTTAACGTCAACGTTAAGTATTAGTCAAAATATGAAAAGTTCTCTTGGGGGGAGCACATATTAAGTGTTTGCATGAGGGCAACCGATACCCTAGGATCGGCCCTAATCTGGAGAATTCGTTGCAGCAATGTGTACAGCCCTAATTATAGCATACAAAGACATTTTGGAGTTTGTTCAAAGCTCAAAAAATATCATTAATGCAGATTCCGACGAGAAAATTTAAATGAATAACGGAACTTCTATTCCCAAGTCATCCGAAACGAGGAACATCATAAAAAGTATGCGTGTAGTTGTTTAGACGCACATTCTAATGGTGAATTGAATAACAAAATGGACGACATCGAACAATTTGTTGCTTAGAAAGACAATGCAATGTAAAAAAATCAGATTATTTTTCAAAAACTCAATAATTTTTCAGTTTTTCAACAAACTTGTAAATTTTGTATTGAATTTCATTAAGTTCTAGTGAATGCTTTTGTTTCATTGATTTTTATTCAAATACATGCATATATACATATCTCTGTAAATAAAATGTATCCGACTAGGTTCGGAGATAAATTTTTCAAAAATTGATTTTCTGAATAATTTTATTGTTTTAAAGAACATAAATAGGCTTAAAAATTCCTAACTATTAAGTAACTAACATATATCGCCTTTTTTTTTAAAAAAAAATTATTTTTAGGAAAATTTAGCAAAAAAATTTTTTAAGTTAAGAAAAACGTGATAAATAAAAATAAATTTCACATTATGCATTTTTAACGTCATTGATATACTTCTTGATCCCTCTGAAGTGTCCCAAACCACAGGATAAAAAATAGTTTAAGAAATAAGTATTTTATTAGCATTTAAATTTGATGATCATGAATTTTCGTCAAAATTACTGTGCATGTTCTAAGCCTTTTATACTCTAGTGGTGTCACGTGAAACGATTCCTATTGGCTGGCGCAAACTCATGTTGTGAAGCAGCACAAGTTTTAAAAAAGATGCCTTCCAACGTTGGCATATTATGTCTTGAAAAAAGGAGAACCGAATCGACTCGATCCCCCTTTTTTCGGTATAATTTTTTTTTCACTCACTCACTCTACTAGATGGCCAGTCTGTTTTTTGCATTCCGCCTGAAGCTTGTTAAAGTGCTGCAGGTATTGCACAAATCGGTAGGATTTCACCATATTGCACTCGAAAATGTCATAGTCCTCGTGTACCTCATCGTGCTGGTTGGTCATGCAGGGTGCGGTCATTCAAATCTCGGAAATGGGGCAGCGTTCCCAAGTTGATTGTAAAAAGTCCCAGTTTTTCAAAAAATTTCCGTTGGTCTGCTCTTTTGACGACGATGAGGCCTCTGTTTCCTTGGTCCAGGTGACAAAACTTGCCCCTGACGCAGAAAGATAGGAATTCTAGGGGCACAGATCCGGGCAGGTGGCTTTTCAGACTGAGGCGTTCATTGAAGTACCTGTTGGCTCGGCTGTCTTTGGAGGTCATGATGAGGTTGGAGTGATCCACCGTGATGCAAATCACTTCCGGATATTTGCCATCCTCCGGAATGCTGGTAATGGACAGTTCGATAGGTACAGGTTGGACACCATGGTGAAACACGTTTGCGTGGGTGAAAAAGGCTAGCTGAGACATGTTGCTCTGACTGAGTGAGAATGTCTCTAGCTGCTGAGCGCTCGCCTTTTATACTCTGCTGGGTCACGTGAATCGATTCCTATTGGCTGATGCTTTCCAACATTGAAACAGTGTAACCAGACATCTTATTGATACTTTGAAACCTTGAAAGAAATTTTTCATTCAGCACAAATGAGACGAGCCCACTAAACTTTTATATGTGCCACTATACAGATGAATCCAACCTTGGAGCATCATTCAGCGCAAATTAGCTGAAATTCAGCGCAGCCTTCAGCACAAGTTTTAAAAATATGCACTCTCAAATCTTGGTACAATATTTGATCCGAAAAAAGGGGGACCGAGTCGACTCTTGTGTTGACACAGTCCCCTTTTTCCGGTCCAGTGTCCATTTACTGTGCCAATACCGTAACTTTGTGGCTCCATTCCGCATGCAGCTTGTTAAACTGCTGCAGGTATTTGGCAAATTGGCAGGATTTCATCATGGCAGTGGCGCACACAAGGGAGAGAGGGGTCCTGGGGTCCGGACCTCCCCAAAGCCCTTGATTTTTTTCCGATTGGTTATAATTCTAAGTATATAATACGTAAAATTTAATTAAATATTTGTTATTAATGAT